GAGAAAAAAAAAAAAAAAACACAAACAGATGGTTAACCAGCACTGAAGAAGCGAAGTCATTAGAGTTGAACACAAGAGATGCAAGTATTTCAATGAATATGTGTGCAAAATATCGCAGTGGCTGACTTGACTATTACTTCTGAGGCAATAATTGAGACCAGAGGTACCAAAGGAATGGACTGGAACAAAGCCACGCATACACAGAGCCTCATTATCCTGAACTACACTCATCTCTCATCTCTTGTCACCCTTGTTTCTTTCTCATCTCCTCCTGTGTTCGCCTTGTTTGTGTCATATACACCCAGGGCCAATTTTCAACCTTTCCTATTCAGTACATAGTTGGTTCAGGGGAGACTGTAAATCTGAATTCATAAGCTGCGACTTGCCCAGGTCAAATTGTTTTGAAGCTCTCTACTTGCGACATGGGTTAGAATGTCTGTTCGTAATTCGTGGGGAAGTATAAAAACACTAAACCTAAATTAAAAATCAGCACCTCGAATAAAACATTATTAATATTTAAAACAATGGATTTATCAAACATCAAGAAAATAGGATCTACTGTCATCATTGAGGATGTTTTCTACAAATTATATGATAAATAAGAAAAAAAAAAAACAGTAAAAAGTTTTCTTTTTCCTTATTTTCTTCATTAGAAAGTCGCCTCTAATTCCATGTATTGACTGTATATCACTGCTGTAATGTGCATTTCTTTCTTGGTTGCTAATGGATTCACAGCCATTTAACAGACAATAATTCAGAATTATATAATGTAATAAAATAATAGCCCTTTTTATTACAACTGCATACTTTTGCTGTCAACTTGATGAGCTATGTGCTTTTTAGTACAAGGAGAAAATGCCAGCATATTAGCGCTGACTGTGAGCTGTATACTTTTTTCAGTCAGTGAACCATAGTTCAGTGAATAAATAAGCTCCTCTACTTGATGGAAAGACTTTTTCTCCCATTAGCCTGTATGTTTTTAGATGTTTCTATCATTCAAATCTGGGAAAGGCTGGAAAATAAAGAAACAGCATGCGCTTTGACAAGTTAAAACTTCAGTAAGGCTGTGTGTGCATTTGTGTGCACAGCTCTCATATATAAAATCTGATCTGCATGTGCGTGTTTGCCCGTTTCTCATTTTGTTTTATCTCTGTACATTAATCTGCATCTCATTTCTACACTTCAGTTGGAGTCTGTTTGCATTTGGTCAGGTTTGTATAAAGTCACCTGTTTGGCCTTCGGAGGACAACAGGCAAAGTAAATGTTTTCATCTGAAAATTCCAATCAATGTCAGATAAATCAAACCTTTAATTCAGATACTATCTAAATCTATTCAGCTGAATAAAAAACACCAAAATGTTGTTTTACGTCTTACAAGGTCACTGGTGCCAGCAGTAACATTCCTTATGCAAAATGTTATTGAAGCATTTCATTTTTTTTTTTTTCCTTTTTTTATGTCGGTTGGATTGAGTGGGGTCTTTTAATAACTAATCCTTGACTCTCAGTTTACCAATGGTATAAACGTATTATACACGACACAACAGCGGGTGTTCCTCAGGACTGCTGCAAAATGAATTGGATAAGAGCGCATTTTAATTGAGGCAAAATTGTGCTGAACTTAAGTAATCAAGGGAATATCTAACACTCACCTGAACTCCTATTCTTATCATTAATATATGCAATAAGACGTTACTTGGATCTGGAAAACCTTGTAACAACTGAAACCTTGCTGCTATTGGCTACATATGGATAAGGAGAACAGCAGCACATAGGCAACCAAATCAGAAATAATACATATTAAGCAACATATAGAATAGAATAGAACAGAATAAAATTCCCTTTATTGTCCCACAATGGGGAAATTCTGGAGTTTACAGCAACAAAAAGATTATAGAAAAAATGGTTATATAAATGCGGACCTTAGAAAAATTTATAATAACATAATAGTGAGGAGTTAAAAAGCAAATTATATATTGTACTGTAAAGTGTTTTAACAATATAGAACTGTGCACCTGGAGAATAAGTAACCAATATACACCTATAGACATTTTTACAGTAACGAATATTTGAAAAATAGCAGCAACATAAGAGATGTGCAAAAATGAAAGCAGGATGTTGTGCAAATTGTGCAAAATCAACATGAATGTAACAACTTATTGAAGTTATTGGGTACAGTGGTGGTTATAGAGTCATACAGCTGCTGAAAGGAAGGATCTGGGATAACGCTCCCTGGTGCATTTAGGATGCAGCAGTCTTATCACTGAAGGAGCTCTCTCTCTGATGATAATATGAAAAAAATTCTCCAATTAATGTAGTGTGACTGACTTTTTTAACGATTAGTCTTTACTATGTCTGTCATTGTGAGATAATACCAGTGCAATCAAATAATAATTATCTTCAGGCTTATTACATGTTTCTCAGTGTGCCAATATGTACAATAACCACAGAGGGAAAAAAAAAATTGAGATGCTGTGTGTATAGAGCTGTTGGCCAACAATGGTGACGTTAACCAATAAATATTTTAATGACCATGGCAGTGGATAAAATGGGAGGGGAAGAGGAAACAACATAGAACAGAAACAGTTTCTTTCTTTCTATGTCTTTATGTCACTGTTAGTTATGGACTATATCATATCTCACATTGAGACACATTGCCAAGGAAACTGGCTATAACCACAGAAACTCAAGCTCATCAGCTGCAACTGTTATATAAGGCCTACTTTATTGCAAGTTTAAATGATTGTGATGAGCATTTGAGCCAGCGCAATAATTGAGAAAAATTAGGCTCTTTGGTTGGAGCTTTTTTTATAGGTGCCCTACAACAGGAACACAGGAACAAGGTGATGGGACAAAATGTTGGTCATTCAAAAACGTAAAATAAAATGTACAAGAAGTGAAACTGGAGGTGAGGAATGGAGGGGTAACTTGAGGAGGGTAATGGGATATGGGAAAGTACGGAGACGATACAGAAGATAAGTGTGAAGCAAAAAGAGAGGAAAGATGGAGGGAAATTGATAAATGTGGATTTTGTAGAAGAAATGAAGCAGCAGAGATAGAAGGAGATGAGATGGAAGAAGGAATAAGGAAGATGGAATGAAAAATGAAATATTACTGTGTCCAGGTTGCGAATTTTCGTGTGTGGCTGTGCACACGTCAGCACGGAGCACTCCGGTAGTTCCCATCCTGCGAATCAGTGAATACTGAACAGAATGTCCTCGCTGAGGGCTGATGTGTTTACGTGAGAGTGGTGATAAAATAATCCTAAAATGAAAGAATGGGTGACAGGGGTGGCAAAGGGGTCATGCATTTAGGACAATTACTGTCCAAGTTTTTAAATAAGGTGTGCACCATGATTCTTATCTAATGATTCATTTAGCCACAAAATGCCATTCCTGCCCTAATAGATGAGAGCTGGAAAGGAAAAAAAGCTGGAAGTGGTAGAGTAGTCTGTGTGTTTCCGCTTTGTGTACATGCTGCTTGTGGTTCATACTGAAAATGCTGTTGACAGTGTCATTTGATGAAAGCTGACAGGTAATTTATGAAGCATATTTTTGAGTAAATGATTTTTCTTGCTCCTACTTTCTCTGCCATTCTAGACTAGTAATTGGATTTCCCTAACTTTCAATGTTGTGAATTAGGAGCAAACTAGTTAATGAAGGTTTTCCTGCCTTAACAGCATGTGTATATGTAGTGTATGAGTGTGTTCTCATGTCATTTTAGGTAAGGAAACAAAAAAGAAAGAATGAATATTAAAAGAGTGTGGATTTTAGTTGGAGCATGCATGTGTGCGATTGCACGCATACTACGTGAGTAGATGAAAAAACCATCTTTCATTGCTGTGGAAGTTAATTGCATAGTCTTGGTCTACTGCACTAAGACCCAGCTATTACTAACCACCTTTGCTTTAATTCTTTCAGCCAATCAAGGACCACAGACACAATCGTATGCAAGAGCACAAAAAGCAATTACTATGTTTGTAGAGGCGCTTTACTAAAATAACATAGCTCCTACCACTTTTCCTCATTTTTTTTCCTATTAAAAGATCAGTTAAATCATAAGCTTAACATTGAAATAAAAATAAATAAATTATTGCACTTTTACCATCAAAAGACCTAGCTTCCTGGGGGCCTATCAGGGTTCCCGACCTCACAAAAATAGTAAATTCTTGGTAGATGTTAGACCAACAAATCCAGAATTGTTTTGTCACCCATTTCCTCTTTGTCTGCTTTTCCTGTGTTTAATGCCTAGTAGTGTTTAGTCTTTATGAAGTGAGTCTCATTCTAGCCCCATGATGGTCATGCTGTGTGTAAAAAAAATAAATAGAATAAAATGACTCAAAGCTTGCTTTTCTCAGAGTGAACATTTAAAGTGGTTCTAAGGGCATTAACACATATTGTAGTTACAGGTGTTTGCCAAAAACCTTCCTCACAGCTGCACACAAAAACCAAACCTTAAGAAGGAGCAATTAAAAACACAAGCTTAAGTAATCTAAAGTAAACTGCTATTAAAACATTACTGGGCTGTGAACAAACACAGTAGAGACACAGTGAATGTAGCACGACCTAATACCAATAAAAGTAAGCCAAATTAATCCAATGACAATTACTATTCCTGAGTCATTTGTGTTGCAAGGCCTGTCATGGTTGTAAAGGTAGTACCAAGACAATAGTTCAAACACAATGATGAGGAAACATGAGTAGCCTTAAACATGTTCTAAACATTAAAAAGGTCCTTGACAAATATCACATATTAGAGGGAGAGTGAATTAATAAAAGATATTTGCATGATTTTTTTTACACTATATTCTTGTTAAGTGCAAAGTACTATAGATTTATTTGCTCTTCACTCTTTTCTGAAATTCAAATGTATGTACTGTTAATTAGCCATCACATTATATAAGTGGTAAAAAAACAAAAAACATCATTCTTCCTCTAAAAATGCCACCTAGGCAGTTTGTTCTAGGGTCTTCATTGAATTAAGATGCGATCTTCATCCCTTACCTGGAGTGTTGAGCAGTCGGGACATGCGACACATGTACGTGATTTCCTGCTCGCAGTGTTCTGCACTGGTTGTGATGGCTGTCACCTAGAAACACAGGCAAGGTTGTGTATATTTACCTAATCTTAACCACACATCAATTTCAGTTAAAAGGAAAATATAAAATAAAACTGGGATAAAATCTGTTCTAGTTCCCCTTCTTTAAATACATGAAAATGAATAAAAGTGTAATGACATGTGAAAATTCTCAGTTGCTTTTACAATATCACTTGTGGAAAAAATGCAGTCACTCCTCTTTTGCCACTGACACGTGAAGTTCACCCACTGTTGGCTTTTGACCAGGAGTGTCAACTGCAATCTATAACCACTCAGCAGAAAGATTAAGGTATCGACTCCCAAATGCAAGGGAGCAGATTCTGGTAACCTGAGCTGTATTTAGAAGAACCCAAGCAGATAAGTCATGCAGGGATGAGGTTAAATACTCATTATGTTAGTTTATCATAGGGCATTTGCAGAGCTGGGGGCTCAAAGATTTAAAGTCCAAATGATTAAGCTTTCATCACATGTTAGGAAGAAGCATGGTGAATGATAAAGATTTTTTAGTGGGATTTAAGGAGAATATTTTAGCACGTAGCATATATGCTGATAGGGTTAAATACTTCCTATGCTCTTTACAAAGTTGCTGACATACTGTGTTTAACTTGCCATATTTGATGCCTTATCTATAATCACATTTTATGTAGGTTAAATGTTAACAAATGTGACATAATAAGGAAAAACTATAAGTGCTGCTATAACACAAGAGGTAAGCTTTCTCAAGTTAATCAGAGCCTGACCATCTTGGGCTGATACTGGATGCTCTACACATTTTAATGTGCGTAGAACTAAGTGGTTAAATAATTATAAGCTGATTAAATCTGAAAATAATCATTGACCAATGTCCAAGGACCCAGCATGCCAAAATAGATAACAGACATCATTTTAGATTTAACATCTGAGTAAACTAAAGTTTAAAGCGACACTGTATTTCTAGAACTGTAAGTTCCATGTTTAACCTCCATGAAGGCTATTGGCAAAACGGAAAAGTTAAAAAATCATACAAAATGATTCTACGTTTTGGAAATTGATAGCAGACCACTTTGAACCAGCAGATTGAGAATTCATTGTGTTACTTGAAAGGACAAGACCACATTCCGCTCTTGATAGCTAAATTCCAGATGACGAGTGAGCGGTTGTGCAGAAAATACTTTGAAACAATGCCAAATACAGTGGGGCAAAAAAGTATTTAGCCAGCCACCAATAGTGCAAGTTCTCCCACTTAAAAAGATGAGAGAGGCCGGTAATTTTCATCATAGATAT